TCTCAACTGTGTCCTTAATAGAAGAAAACTGATTTGATCTGAATAGTATTTTGAAGTTAAATTATACTTAAAGCATACTTTAAGTATACTTTTGTCTTGTAGTGATTTCAAGATCCGGACAAACCTTCTTAGATCCTGAGATCAGAATGTGTCTTTCAGTTTCAAAGTATACTTAAAGTACACTTTTCTTTGCGAAACTATTTTTCACAAGTACTGAAGTTTGAAGAAGTGTACTTAAAGTATACTTAAGTATTTGAAGTATAAATGAAGTACATTTGCCAAATATACTTTATTTATACTTTTTTTCTGGAAGTACAAACGAGGTATACTTCAAATGTACTTTTTTTCTGAGAAGTACATATAAAGTATACTTGAAGTATACTTAAAGTATACTTAATTTCTACAAGGGTTTGTACAGTTAATAATAATCAGCTCATACATGACGTATGCATTCTCTTGTTTAGGTACCCTCCCATTTTGCATTTTATTCCATGAACTTGAAGTAGACAGCCAGGTGAACTAAGTACAAAAGCATCTTTTCCCTCACAACTTACAGTGTATGCACTATTTTCATGTGAATTAGGTGGTTCAAAAATCAGCAGCCCGGCCTGTCGCTCCATTTCCATTGTCACTTTTTTCTCCACCTCCTTGCTTACAAGAGAAAAAAATCCTGATTGCAGGTTACCAGCCGCCAGCACTTATTGAGAACCCTGTGTAAGCATATACTGCACATGGTTACTTAATGGGTTACTGTATTTGAAAAATAAACAGGTAGATATTTCTACAACATTTTGTTTTCAGAAACTATTTCGTGGTTGTGTGACTTTAGTGACTATCCTGATCATGATGAAGCTACTGCTGTGCCAAAAAGCAAGGATGCCGCTCGTATACCATTCTTGTCATGAGGAGACCATTGCCGAGTCTCACCATACCTTGCAGAGTGAAGTGGAAGAGGTTTACAAAAAAATGGGAGAGAGATAAAAGAGAATTGGACTTGTCTATAAAACCAAAATTGTTGGTCGCTATTGATAAGATCAAAGAATTGTTTCCAGAGACTTGTCGTGCGTGTGGTGGTGGCATTTCTTTGAAGCAAACAATGTCAGGTGCTGTTCTAACATTACAGTGGAACTGTGACAGTGGGCACTTTGGCACCTGGGGTTCCTCAGATGTTCTTACTGTAAGAAATAATCAAAAAGTGTATGTGAATAATTTTCAAATGGCAGGAACTATTACTCAGTGGAAATAATTTCTTGAAATTTAGCCTTCTGTCCAAGTTTCTTGGTCTGGAAATTATTTCTGAAACTTTCTTCCACAGAATTCAGAAGGTTTATTGCTGTCCTTCTGTAAAAAGTATGTGGAATGATGTTAAGGATGTGATACATGACAGCATTTCTCATCCAGTAAAGTTTCACTGTTGGGGGATGGAAGAAATGATTCTCCAGGGCACACTGCATGATCTGTGTTTACACACTCATGGAAGAGCGTCTGAAGTTGGTAGTGGACCGGGAAGTGGTTAATAGTTGGGAGACTGGTGGAAAATCTGCCAACATGCAGGGTGCAAAGAAAGTCAGTTTTACAGCCTGCCATTCGTGCAAGCTGTAGCTAGCATGTACTAGCCCACAAGTCATTTCAACTAGCCCCAAAACCCTTTTTGATTAGCAGAACTGATTACAATCCTTCTGTAAATTGAATTTCCCCTAAAAACAGCACTTGCCCGCCGGGCAATTGCAAGTTAAGATTACAAAAATCACTAGCCCGATAGCAAAATTCACAAGCACCAGGCTATCGGACTTGACTTTCTTTGCATGCTGACATGGACAAACTGGCCCTTTCAAGATTACTACAAAGGCTGAAGGATGTACTGAAAGTAGATCATCTTGTCACAGATGCATCACCATCTACTGAATCAAGGCACTGGCGCAGGGTCTAAAAGGTATAGCATTTCATGGCAATAATGAAATTATCTTATGTACCCTAAATCCTCTATTTAAGCTCCCCCTTTCAAATAAGCCCTCTCCCTCTAATAGCCCCCCCCCCCTTTTCAAGGGAAGAAAGGGTTAGTTATAAATCCCCCCCTCTCTATTAAGCAGGTGCAAATGGCAGGCAGGTGGCCTGTCTTTATCACCATGAAAAAGGACCAGGGATATTGCTGTGCTCCTTCCATTTGGATGGCATGCAAGTTCATTGCTCATTTCCCTACCCATATGCCATTCCTTTTATTTATTTTCCGGGTGGAGTGTAGAAGGGAAGGACTTCCTTTTGCTAAAATAAAGTAAGTAAATAAATTGTTGCACCTAAATTGCAAGGGGTTATAGAAATATATGTATAGAAACTGGGTAAATGGCTCTTTTCAAAACTTATGTCTTAGGCCTTAAAATTATTGTTGCATGTAAATTATTATTTGCTTTTCACAGAAGTACCAGATTTAAGGAGTTCAGTAATAACTTTTAAAGTGTTGTGGTTCAATTTAATCCTTGATTTTAATTTTAATTTTTTGCTTGTGATACAGTTGTGTAAGTAAAGTCCATTCTCAGATTGCAGTAATTTTTTTTCTCCTCAACCAAGAGAGGATACAAGTGCACTTTGGTTCAATCCGAGAACTGTTTTAACCTTCAATATAGACAATCTTTTTTTTTACTGCGGAACAACATAGAGAACTCCAGGAGGTCACCCATGACCTGGACATTTGGCACTAGTCTGCACACATGTCAAGGCTTTGACTGATGTAAGTTAGATCCCATATCTATAGTTTGTCTGATCAATATTAACCTTAAAATGCAGTGAGCATGTCTTTAAAATAAGCTACTGCTGTTTTCATAAAAATAATTATCTCAACTGGCTGCTAACTTGAAAGACTGTGGTGCTATACGTGACTGGATGAGCCAATACCAAACCACTTCTGGTTCTGTTGCCAACAAGCCAAT